TTTTTTTTAAGTAAAGTGTTAAATGGGCCATAAACTTACAAGTGTCTAGTAAAGTTTGTTTTGCTTGGATAGCAGCTGTCAAAACACCAAGCAGGGCCTCTTCCCAGGAGCCACCGGAGGGGAATGGCTCTGGCTCCTGAGTTTTCAGCTCTGCAGGCAGTTCAGAATTCCTCTGGGAGATCTATATGTATGAGCTGCTTTCCTTTACTTTTCACAGAGTGGGTATTTTTATTGTTATTTGTTTGTTTCCTGAGACAAGATCTCACTCTTAGTTCAGGCTGTCAGGCTGTCCTTGATTGAATTCATTGTGCAGTCCAGGCCTCGAACCTGTGGCAGTTTTCCTACCTCAGTCTTCTGAGTGCTGGGTTTTCAGGTGTGTGCCACCTAGCCTGGTTCTTTACACAAGTATGACCATGAAAAGATAAAAACATGTTTACAGATAGTGAACATGTGTCAAAAATATGCTTGTTTCATGGCTAGCCTGTTGCTCAGTGTTAGATCACTTGCTTAACAAGGCCCGGGGTTTAATCCCTAGTACCAAGACAAAAACAAATATAGTTAACTCATGATTAAGGTCACTAGCCAGATGGTAAAGCTGAATCAAAAAAGAATTTGAGTGGGTCAGGGATTTAGCTCAGGGGTTCCACCACCTGCCTAGCAAGTGCAAGGTCCAGAGTTTGATCCCTGGTACAAAAAAAAAAAAAAAAAAAAAAAAAAAAAAAAAAAAGAATTTGAGGAAGAGAGGTTTATAGTTAGTTACAAGAAAGCCATGCTGAAATAAATTATTTGTCTTGAGAAATAAAACTGGTTAGTATCATAAAAGGCAATCAAACTTTTGGATTTGTCTTCTCTGTATGGCAGTAATTATTTGTATCCATATTTTGTACCAGGTGGAAAAAACCCCACAAATTAATTTGTAACTTTAAAATCTTTCCAGGCGGGCATGACGGTGCATGCCAGTAATCCCAGCACTCAGGAGGCATAGGCAGGAGGATCAATGAGAGTTTGAGGCCAACCTGGGCTATATCTGAGTTCGGGGCCAGCTTCATCTGCATAGCAAAACCCTGTATCAAAACAAAACAAAACAAACAAACAAAAACAAGTCTTTCCCCTAATAGTTAAAATACTTTCCCCAGAGAATGAATGAAGTCTTGTGGAGTCCCACTGAAAAATCGTTAGTGTAACAGGGAGAGGAAATTCTTATTACTGGGACAAAATATCCTACACCCACCAGCCTAAAGGAGGAGAGGTTTATTTTGGCTTACAGTTTAGTCCATAGCTCACCAGCTTTGAGGCAGAACAGGATGGTAGAGGGGTATAGTGGAGGGGGGCTGCCCACTTCATGGTGGCCAGGAAGCAAAGAAAGGGAGGAGCCAGGGAAAGAGAGCCACCATTCCAGGTCACACCCTCATGATCGCTTCCTTGGATGAGACCAGGCCCTCTCCCAACAGCACCGTTAGCTATAGCACCCATGCCTATGGTCCCACTGCGTCCGTGCACAAGAGAATTTGGGAGAACGATCTAGATCTAAGCAGTAACAGAAATGTAGTCATCTTTTTTGCCTTATTTCCAAGTTCTGGATAATTTTTCTTAATGCCCTCCCCACTCTTCTTCACCCTCTTGCCCATGTGTGAGCTGTAGACCCTTCCTCCCACCTCTCCTACATCCCGATTCTGACAGTTTCCAGAATGGGCTCTGTGTGTCTTGGCAGGTACGTGCCCTGGAACTTTCATGAGCCCCATCCAGGACAGTATGAGTTTTCTGAGGACCGCGATGTGGAGTATTTCCTTCGGCTGGCTCATAAGCTGGGACTGCTGGTCATCCTAAGGCCTGGGCCCTACATCTGTGCCGAGTGGGACATGGTGAGTATGCCCACCCCGGGCTCTGCCTGCCTGGTGAGCATGAGCAGGGCTGGGCCACAGCATGGGGTCTGGAGCACCGGGATTTAAAGCTGTTCAAATAACACTCTGCCTTTCAGACTTGGCCTGTGGCCACACCCAGCTCAGGCGTCTGTTACTTAGGAAGGTGCCCAAGCAGGGAAGGACAGTCGGGCCACTGCCTAGGCTCTCCTCTAGGTGGTCACTCACCTAACTCAGTTTCCTTATCTGTCACATGCAGCTGCTGCTGTCTGCTCTGTCCACCTCATAGAGTATTTGTGAAGTTAAGTGGGATAATCTGTATGAAAAGGGTCTTGGCTTCAAAACATTGCATTAACAGAATGATCTTAATTTTACTACATTCCAAATTCCAATGTCCCTGAAAATTACTAACCAGAGCACCAGCATAAGTGCTGTTTCTCCTGAAGCTTTTCTTCTTTTCCATCACCACTAGCAGTAATTGTTTTCTCCTCTGAACTCCTTCATGAGATGGACATTATAATGGCTCCTACTTTTTTCCCCTTGTCCTAGGGGGGATTACCTGCTTGGTTATTAGAGAAACAATCTATTGTTCTGCGCTCTTCTGACCCAGGTAAGTTGTTAGAGAAGTCTTGAGAGACTTTATAAAAGAACTATATCAAAAGCGTCAGGTATTTTAAAAGCTGAGATACTTGCGCATAAGTACTTCTGAAAGTTAGTGAAAGTTTGAGTGTTAATTACCATTCATGACATTTTATCAGACATTGAACATGTAGGAAATAGGTTTTCTTGAACTGCTTGCCCAGATCTTGCTGATAAACTGGTAACTCTCTGGTTTGGCATTGAACCTTGATTGTGGTTGACCAACTAACTTCAATGTTCACTTTCTTTCCTACATGCTTAGTGTGTTACACAGCCAGTGGTTAATATCTGCTCATCACGGAGGTGTCACTGGCTTGTGTGGTACTTAAAGTGTCTTCTATTTCTTTGTCTACTCTTACAGAGTGATACATGAATGATATTGTTCTTATCTGTCTTTAAACCAGGAGAGATTATTTTTGCTATAAGCCCTGAACACTCAGAAAGACCCCCTTTAGCTGCATTTCTGTTTCCTGAAGACTTAATTTCTTGGGGATGGTGAGGACAGTGAAGGTGGTAGCGGCTGGCAGAGGTTCTTAAATAATAGCAGCTAATACAGATTATGTTTAGTGTATAAAAAGCCAGTGACTGTACATGTGTTTTCCTTTTACTGATCACCCCTTGTTTAGCAGTAGTGTATAGTTTGGCATTTGTATATTGTTGTTTTCACCTGTACTTTCATTAATCCTCATGGCAACTTTATGAAGCATGTACTTTTCTTATCCCCTTTTGACAATGTAAACATATGATTTATGAGGATTTACTTTTAAAGAAAAAGTAACTTACTTTGGTTGAGAGGACAACATAGCATTCCGCCTCCCCTCTTGTTTAGCAAACATTTCCTGTCTGCCTCCTGAGCACCTGGCTTTGTGTCTATGACAAGGACAGATGACAGCAGTATTGTGCCTCACCCACTGAGAGATAATAGCCTGCAGGGCAGTATTTATCAGACTGTTTTCCCCCCTCTAGTATTGGGAACTAAACTCGGGGCCTTCTCACTGAGCTACATCCCCAGGCCTGTTTTATTTTTAATTTTGAGACTGTCTCTTGCTAAATTGCAAAGTTGTTCGGGCTGCCTCAGCCTCCCAGAGTGCTGGGATTACAGGTGTTCACCACAACGCCAAGCCAGTTTTTCTTAGGTGTGGCTACCCCATTGTAGAAGACAGTCAGTGCTGGCAGCTTCTGTATAATAAGATTGCACTGGTGTCTCCTTGTACTAAATGGTGTGTGGTGATGTAAAACCTGGCTTATTTTCCAGATTACCTTGCCGCTGTGGATAAGTGGTTGGGAGTCCTTCTGCCCAGGATGAAGCCTCTCCTCTATGAAAATGGAGGGCCGATTATAACCGTGCAGGTAACTGGAGCTGATTGTGCATGGTAGGGAAGGTTTCTAGCTTTGTTACCTAAGTGACAGGTGTAATGCAGAAATGGGCTTCCTTGGGCTGTTACTGGAAGGTGCAGTGCTACGGATGGTGCTTTTCCCTAAATTCCATTTGGGGAAGGCATTACTTTTTTTTTTTTTTTTTAAGAGATGAGCATTGTCTCTGTTGCCCAGGTTGGCCCTGAATCCTGGGTTCAAACAGTTCTCCTGCCTCAGTCTCCCAAGTAGCTGGGACTCCAGGCACATGCCACCATTCCTGGCTCTTGCATTTCCATTTTTTATTGCCTGCCACGTATTGGGCCCTGTCCTGGAGTCCCTGTTGTGATTCTTCCAACCACCCTGTCTTTTAAAATGAAGGACCTCAAAAGGGTTAAGCAGCTTGGTCAGAAGTGCCCAGCTGGCAGATGGCCACATCAAGAGTGCACCTCATTTCTGCTGGTTAGTATCATAAAAGGCAGTCAAACTTTTGGATTTGTCTTCTCCGTATGCCAGTAATTATTTGTATCCGTATTTTGTACCAGGTGGAAAAAAAGTGGATCTCTTTCCCGCATGTTGTATCATCTTTTGGCTGCAGGGGTGCAAAGTGGGCTGAAAGGCTTTGTATCTGCACTGCTGAGGCAGGCATTTACTCCTGGAATAGAAAGAGGATGTGGTGAATGGGGGCTTTCTCTCCCACTTCCTGTCCCCACTTTCCTTCCATGTGTGTTGGCTCTGTAAAGACTGGTATTGTGAAGCATGCTTTATCCATGTGAAAAGCCAGGACACTTGTCTTCAATAGTTTTTGGTGTTTGTAAAATTACTTAGGCGAAACGTAAAATCTTGTTCACTGGACATTTTGCCAAGGGTGTTTTTACTGAAATGGATAAAGTTATGCAAAACTGGCTCTATCCTAGGACATCCAGGGAATGCAGTGTGGCCCTTCCTAAGGGAGCACAGGCCAGGTCTCTTCTTGTGGACAGTGCTGTGGACTGTTTGTGGGGAGGTCATCGCCCCTCAGGTGCAGGCGGAATGAGAGGGAGAGCGCCAAATCTGCACTGTGAGCCGAGGGTGGAAGGAGGTGTCTCCTGGAGCGGGGCCGGCTGGCTGCTCACAGGGAAATGGAGTCGAAGCCTGTGTTGTATTCATCGGGGTCCGTACTGGTTAGGTGGAGGAAGCCACGTCATCTGTGGGAAGGTAGTGAGTCTGACTCTTGGACATCCTTTTTATCAGGTGAAAACCTTGCTTTTTCCTTCTTTGTTGTGGTACTCAGGGTCAAACCCAGGGCCGTACACGTACGAGGCTGCTCCCCCAGCCCGAAACCCCATTTTTAGCTGCCCTTTTCAGTCTCTCCTTCTCCTCGAGTCACTTTCAATTTCTGCTCACAGCTTTCCGGTGGCTCGGGAAACTCCACACACACACACACCAGTGTTATGACGCGGTCCAGTGTGAACCCCACAGAGCGCTCATGCGGCTGTCTTAAGGGCGTGCCTTCCCCTGTCCATCCTGGGCCGCAGCTGACTTTGTCCTGGCTGTGGACTCTGCCGGGTCACTGCCGTCCTGCCCCTCCTCCACATCTCCACCCTCTTGGATCCCACCTGATCACTTTCCCTTTGTTCATTGAGTCAGCAAGTATAGAAAATAAAAGAACATAGAAAACAACAATAATTTAAAAAAACAAAACCTCACTGAAACTTCAGGAGCCTGAGGACATGTGGGGTCTTCAGCGCTTGTTTTCCAGGTGCAGGAAGCCAGACTGACTCCTTTATTTGTCCTTATGATTCAGCTAGATGCGCCAGTGTTTTGTTTTGTTTTTGCACCAGTGTTTCTTCTCTGGGCGGCATTAGCCAAGCTAGTGCCACCGTGATGGTGTACACAAGGAGATGTTTATATCTCAGTTTGTACCAGAAATTAGTAATGCCACAAACCACACCCATTGAAACACCCAAGGTGAAAATTAGTTCCACCTACAACTTAACTTTGTCCAATTAGCGAAGTATTCATTATGAGGTGAGGAGCCTCAGAAGACCAACCACTGTAGAAGTCTGCATGTGTAAGAGCCCCACCAGGTAACTGCGTACAGCAAAGACCTGCAGGCTGCGGCTCTTGGACCTGGACTGACTCGCTACTTATTTTTATCAGTAAAAGCATATTGGAACACGGCCACACCATTTGTTTGTGTATCACTTAGCGCTGCTGTGCAGTAACAGTACCCGATTTGAGTAGTTGAGACAGATTCCCAAAAGCGGTGGTCCCAAAGCATAGATTAGTTACCAGCTGGCCCTTTTTGAAAAAGTTTATTAACCTCTGCTCTAAGAAAGTCAGATTCCTCTGAATCTGAATCTCACTGTGACTTTTTCTGTGGGTCTTGCAAGCCCTTTTCCATTTGTATGTCATTCCCCTACTTTCACCCTGTCTTCACACATATTGGGTTTTTTTTCTTTCTTCTCTAATTGGCAATGATACAGGACTTGAGTATTGTCTTACTGTTACTTTTCCAAGTGCTTAGTAGCTGTGGGCACTGTACAGCAGTGTTTGTGTGCCAGCTTAGCCCTCATACTAGCCGGGGGAAGTAGGCACTGTTAGCATCTTACAGATAAGAAAACATTTTACAGGTGGAGTTGCACGGATAGGAAGTCACGGAGCTCACATTTGCATGTGGACAATTGGGGCCTCTGACCCTAAACTGTTTTGCAAATGTATCTTCTCTTCTGTACTATCTCTCTCTCTTTCTCTGCATTTTCCTCCCCTCCCTTCTCCCTCTCCATCTCTTTCTCCCCCTCCTCCTTCTACTTCCCCTGGCACTCCCTCTCCCCAGCCTAATCAGGGGTTTAGGGGTGCAGCTCAGGGGAAGAGCAGTGCTCTGCGTGTTTGAGGCCAGGGGTTCAAGTCCCCTGAGCCAAAAAACGAAAACAAGTTGGGGGCTGGGGATTTAACTCTGGTTCTGCTGCCTGCCTCGCAAGCACAAGGACCTGAGTTCAATCCCCAGTAGCAAAAAAAAACACAGACAAAAATTTTAAAACTTGACAAAATTATGTGTATCCATGTATTACAAGCCTGTTTATTTTAAGGTATAGAGTACAATGACAATAACAGATGAGTAAGGCTTGAAAAAAAGTGAGATGATGGAAAGAAAATCAGGGTTGGATTGGGATATGAGGGTGGGCAGAAAAGAGCCCCAGTGGGAGAGGCTGTGAGCTCACCTAGCTGCTAGCGCTGATCCTTAAAGTTGGCTCTGACCTTCCCGGTAGCCAACAACAAAGGGAGACACAGTGATTTAAGTATCTGTTATGAAAAGATGGGGTGGGCCTTGCTAGTATTTGCAAAGCTTTTCTTAGCACTGAACTCATTTGTTTCAAAAGGAATATTCATGGGACTTACCAAAGTATCAGAGAAAATCAGCCAAGGTCTTTGCTACTCTGTGAGCAGCAGGTAGATCCTCTTTTAGGATGGCTTCATGGCACCGGGCATCCTGGCTATGATCTGTTCTGAGTCTTGATCTTAGGAAGGTACTGCTGGAGCGCTCTGAGAAAATGGCCATTCATAAAGCCTTCTGGGAGGCAGGACTGTGCAGGTAATAATGATCATAGTTGTGTGAGGCAGCTTTCTGACATTGAGACGAAATGCCTGCGAAAATCAACTCGCAAGGAGGAAAGACTTATTTTGGCTTACGGTTTTAGACGTTTGGGCCCATGGTGGCACAGTACAGCGAGGTGAGACCGCATGGCGGAGGAGCCTGTGGACCTCCTGATGGGCGGGAGAGAAAGGAAGGGGCTGGGGGCTCAGCCTCTCCAGGGTCATAACCCCGATGACCTGACTTTCAGCAGCGCCCCAGGCTTTCCCAAGCCTTTAACATATGGACTTTTGGGCAACATTTCAAATCCAAGAGATAACAGTGGCACTTCGTTGGTTTTCATCATTCACCATTGCTTCCTGGACTCCCCAGCTCTGCACGGGGGCCAGCACCTCTCCCCTTCCCCAGCTAGGTGCTCACCTTCCTGAATGGCCTCGGGAGGGGAAGCTTTCCTGACTCTCTCCTGGCTCCCCCACTGCAGCGAGCACCTCTTTCCTAGGGGCTCACACTTTCTCATGCTTGTGTTTGCAGACCATGTTTTCCCAGGATCACAAAATTTATGTTTTTATAGATTAACATTTCATGGTTGGATAATTGTGTAAACATCTGTGAAACTGTGAGAGATGGCACATACACGCGTGCACACACATACACACACATGCATGCAAGCTCAGTACAGTGAACCATTACACTGAATCCCCCACAACCACCACCCCAGGGCGGGGAGCAGCACCTGGCCAGCGCACTACAGCTTCTCTGGGTCCTTCCTGATTGAACCCCATTTCCTCCCACTTACTACTTTGAGGACCATCAGCACCTTGCTTTGCTTTATAGTTTTACCACATCTGCGTGTACTCAGACTTTGGAGTTTGACTGCTTTCAAGTTTTCTGTAGAGGTTTGTGATGTGTGTAGTTTTTAGTGTTGGGCTTCTTTCATTCGATCTCATATTTCTGAGGTTCATCGGTGTGTCGGGTAGAGCAGAAGTTTATTTTGTTGCTTGAAGGATGTTTCTGTTTTGTTTTTGTTTGTTTGTTTTTCCCTTTTCCCTAAGGAACCCTTTTCAATTTTGTTGTTGTTGTTGGAAAAGGTTGGAAAAGAAACTTGCTCAGCAGAATGAGTTTGGGCCAAGTAAAAGTAGGAAAAGAAGTACAACCTGCAGCATGAGGGCAGGGCACCATGTAAGATGGAACCCAGTGGCCAAAACTTTTTTCTTATTGCCTATCCTTCCCCATCTATAACATGTTAATACCTGGGATAATGCATATTTCATATATATATTATATGTCTATGAAGAGAATAAAAATTTTTTTATCCTATAAGAATCAGTTTTCACCTGGGTGTGGTGGCACTCACCTATAATGCCAGCACTCAGGAGGGTGAGGCAGGAGTATCACTGTGAGTTCGAGGCCAACCTAGGCTACATAGTTCAAGGCAGCCTGCACTACAAAGCAAGCTCATCTCAAAAAACAAAACAAAACAAAAGCCAAAAAGAAGCCAGTTTTCACTGCGTGGGAATGCTGAGAATATGTGCATTGACACCATTGCAATTTTACACCAGTCACTCTTCACTGTGGGACTGTCTGTGCAGTATAAGATCATCAGCAGCGTGTACAGGCTTTCTCCATGGGATGCCACTGGTGCCACGCCCTCCTCTGGTTGTGGCAATCCCGAATGTTTCCAGACATTGCCAAGTGTCTCCTGGGGAAGGTAGAAGGTACTTGGTTTAGAAACACTGATGTTGTTGAGCACAAACTGAGTGTTGTTAAAAGGGGCACAAAACTGCAAATGCTCTGATATTTGTTAGCGGTAATAAATAGACAGTGGTCCATTTGTGTCTAGCATTCATCCTTCTTACTGCCTTGGCTACTTTGCGTAATGTATTAAGGGGAAGAAAGCAGTTACAAATGGTGCAAATAATAAGATATGAGTTTTGAGAAAAGACACTATGTTTAGTGTGTATAAATCTGGAAGGCCATGTACTGAAATCTTTACAATGATTATGAACAGTGGAGTTAGCAGATGATTTTTCCATTGTCTTTTCATTTTTCTCTTATTTTCTAACGTTTCTGCCATGGAAGGTATTACCTATGTAATGTTAAATATGTATTATAGGAGATAATAGAGAAGTGACTATCACTACCATCCCAAAACCAATTTGGATTGTTAGTTTTCTTTTTCCTGTAGGTAGGCAGTGTGGGAGGATTAATAGAAGGTGAGCTTTTATTCTGAGTTGCTTTTTGGAAAATTAGTTGTGTGTCATGAAGCCTTTTTGTCTAAGCAGGTACTCAGAGATTTTCCACCACAAAGATTGCACTTGAATGGCTACACTAGCAACTCCTAATTTCTTCTTCCTCTTTTAAATTCACAGGTGGAAAATGAGTATGGCTCCTATTTTACCTGTGATTATGACTACCTACGTTTCCTGCAGCAGCGTTTCCGATACCATCTGGGGAACAATGTACTTCTGTTCACCACTGACGGGGCAAAAGGAGAATTTCTGCAGTGTGGGACCCTGCAAGGCCTCTATGCTACAGTGGACTTCGGAGTAGGTCAGTGTTGGTCATAGCAGAAAGCCACAGCTTCACTTTGGCTTTTGGCTCATTTAGTCACTTTGGGAGCAGATGTTGTTTCAAGAGGCAATTTGGATGACATTTCTCAAACTTTCCTTTATTAAGCATGCCATTTAGCTTTGTGTGACTGTAGCAAAATATGTGAGATCTTCAACTTAAAAAGAGGAAATCAGATAAGAACCAAGACCTGTCACGTAAAGGTACTAGATCCCGATGATGAATGTAACTATACTGTATACCTAAAAAGTACCAATAAACTCAATGAGAAAAAAGAGGAAATCAAGGGGTCTGGGATGTAGCTCAGTGGTTCCACCACCTGCCTTGCAAGTGCAGGGTCCCAAGTTCGATCCCTGGTACCAAAGGAAAAAAAATTTTTTTAATAAAAATAAATAAATAAATAAATAAATAAAGGCACTATATTTATAGTAATTCATTTAAAATAAATAAATAAAAAGAGGAAATCGAACTGAGGACCTCACACTTGCCAGGCAGTCACATATAGCCGATGAGCTACATCCCCAGCCCACTTTATTTTCTGTTCCATTTTTGGAGGCTTCAGTCCGTAGTTAGTCGCCCTGTTGCTTTTGGGCCTGTGGTAAGGTGTTTATGTCATGGCCAGGGATCTAAAGAGAACAAAAGACTGGGATCTCACAGTCCCCTTCAAGGCAGTAAGACAGTAACCTGAAACCCTCTTAAAAGTTCTACCAGTTCCCAGGAGCACCATGCTTGGAACTAACCCTTTAACACATGGGCCTCTGG